AGCATGTAAAGAGACGTTCACCAATAAGCACAAAAATGTCAAATAGCCGAGAGAGACAGATCTGGCGTAAAGTAGAGAGCGAAAGATTTAGCATTGTGGCAAAACATGGGAGACACAAAAAGAAGAAGACAGAGAAACACAATAAGAAGGACAAATGTAATAGTACAGTAACATGGAAGATCTGTGAAAATGACGATTTTCAGAAAAGGTGTACATAATTTCCCCTATACGCATACAGATATCGAATTTCAAATAAGCACTTCGTTGTGAAGTCTCTTGTCTTCTACTGTTAAATAATAATTTTAAATTTGCCCATGGATTGATACCAGTCAGAGAGAGAGAGAACCATTGAAAACCACAAAGTATAATGCAGCTGTTTCGTCCTAGCTGAGGGACTCATCGAAAGTACGCGCCAACCGGCAGTTGGAATCCAGGACAAGGCAAGCTCTTAGATCATTCAGCCACTGGGAATCAATGGAATGGCTAATCCATGCATTCTAACCTATAGCAATTCGTTATTTTAGCGTGAAAAGAATTTACTAAATAAAAAACGACCTCGTATTATCCAGTAAATATGATATCTTCGTTGTTTTTTTTGTTCAAAATTATCCATATCATGTAACTGGATCGTGTTTACAATAAGTGAAGAAATCGCTATAACACGTACGCATACAATGATGACGCTAACTAGAGTACAGCGCAATGTGAACTTATTCTGAACAAAAAGAATCGACATCATGTGGCCAACTTCATCACAAAAAAAAAGAAAAAAACAGAGGTCATCTAGTGAACTTTGTTTGGTTCACAGAAATATAAGCATGACTTTTTGCTTTTTTCAAATTCGATAGAATGAATACAACTCAGACTTTTTTTTCGTCTTTTCTTCTAAAAATCAAAATATTTATGAATCGAATCGTGCGCTCAAATAGAAAAAAAACAACACTGATGATATAAGATTAGAAATTAGGCACTGTGTTAAAGTTAAATTCTATCACACACAATGAATTTATTTGATATCTGTCAGTCTGTCTGTTTTCGACATAGAACTTTCCACCGATGTGCACCAGAGTTCAAGTCGCCACACTCCCCCCACACAAAGCAAGAGAAGAAATGCATAATAGAGACAGTAAACAGAGGTGTGTGAGACAAAGGAATAGTAATAACGAAGAACAATATAGTTTCATTGAAAATCATAAGTCACAGGGAGTGGTTGCATCTGCTCCAATCCAGCCATTGAAAACGATAAGTTTGAGTCATATCACCAATTGTTTCCAACCTTCATTGGTTTTTACCATTCCGAGGACCCCAACCAGTCAGGAAGACTACACCTTCGTTCGTGGCTGGTTGACTTAAACTAACTGTTGTGGATTTCATTGACTGGCGAAGTTATATTTTGGATTGACCGCCGCTAGCTTTTTTCCAGCCTGATCCTATGTCAGCTAACATTGACGACTGTCGAGGAAGGCTATGGCTAGGCGTGCATACGTAACACATGACCTAACCATCTCAGTCGATGTAATTTCACACCGTCGTCGATTGATTTCCCCTCCTTCCTTATCTAGCACTCGACGCCTAACCTCAGTATTGCTCATCTTATTATACCACTACACACGGGAGATAAAACGCAATCACCTATGATCAAAGACAACTAGCTGGCCTTTTCATGTCTTCCAATCTCAATGACCAGGTCTCATAGCCATAAAGGAGGACGGAGTGGACTGCTGAGTCCTTTGGCCGATAGCCAGCCGGATATCACGTCTACGCCAGAGACCACGTAAACTGGTAAATGCGAAACTAGCTCTCTGTATCCATGCTGAGATTTCGTCGGAGATCAACCCGTTGGCGTCGGCTGATGGTACCACCCAAATAAGTGAAGCGATCAACGTGCTCTACCCTTTCACTCCCTATTTCTAAACTAGGAGTCAGTGTAGTCCAGTCCTGTCCTGTAAGATTATCTTTAATCTGACAGAGGGAGCGAATCGCATGCCGAACATTCGTAGATTGCAGTTCAAGGTATTCAGAAGGACCATATCATCTGCATATTCTAAGTCAACGAGATTATCCCCTGGTAACAAGTCAATCCCTGAGTCTTTGAAGTCAGTTAGGGTTAAGTCCATTTGTAAATCTATGATGAAATTGAATAGAAATGGGGATGATGGGCATCCCTGACAGTCACCACTAATCGTCACCACTTCAGATGACAACTCGCCGTAAGCCCTGACCTAGCCACATGAGTCCGAGTAGAGTCCCTTAATCAGAGCAATGTATTTTCTCGGAATTCCCTTTACAGCCAAGCATCGCCAGAGAAACTCGTTCGACAGAATCGAATTCCACCTTCAGGCGCCGGGGGAATGCCTATGTTCTAGAATCTGTCAAAGGGTGAAGATATGATCAATACACCCTCTTCCTGGTCTGAAGCCTGCCTGGTTCTCTCGTGTTTGTGCCTCCCGAGCATCACTTAGTCTACGCAATATTATTGAGCCTAGGTTAGACCTATGTAGTTAGTGACGCAGCTAGCTCAAAGCTCTAGGACTGAGAAGAACAAATTATCAGTGAAAACGATGAATTTCAAGAATTGTGATCAGTTATGAAAGAGTTATTTACAAGTGCAGTGGAATGGAGAAACAAATAACTCTATTGACATAATTGTGTTCCCTAAGCTTAATGATTTAATTGCAATACTTACATTGTCTTTCTAGATGAGTGGAGTGGGGGACAAAGAAATATTCAGAAGCAACCATCCACGTTACCAGAATAGAGAGGTGTCTGATAAACTCGTAGTATCATCATTTTCAAGAGTTGATTTGTGGGGAATAGATTTGTTTCGCGAGTTTGACCACAGATTGATTTCAGTTACAGAACCAGTGAAAACCATACAAAGGAGTACTGGAGAGTTGTTTCATCATAGTTTGCGAATCACCAACAACACACCCCCCTCGCCAACGTTCGAACCCAAGACCTTCTAAATTACAAGGCAAGCTCATAGACCATTTAGCCACTGAGACATCACTGAATGGTCAGTCCATAGATTCTAACTTCTACCAATTTGTGGTGCATTTAGCACAACCACCAACCAATATCACCAGTGAGAAATCCATCCTCACTCCCGACTGGATGGACATCACTGGTCACGACTTCTTACTAGAACTCCAGGAAACTCCTTCCTGTAGCCAGTAGTCACTACCAGTGGCTGAATGGTAAACGAGCTTGTCCTGTAACCGGAAAGTCCTAGGTCCAAACCCTGACGGTGGGTGCATCCAGTACTCCCTGGCGGTTTCCAATGATTCTTTAACTGAAAACACATTATTATTATTATTCCTTCGGATTCCCAGTGGAGCATACGGTTTCATCAGTGCATCTTCATTCCAGCCAGTTTTTCTGCTGTCTTCTTCGACTGGCTCGACGATTGATCATAAGCTCACATCTCCTCTATGTTATACTCAGATGTCCAGCACGTCATCTTCCCCTTCGAGCTCTACTTGAGGACGTCGTTGGCGCGCATTCTCCTCAATGAATGCCCAATCTATCTCTACTTCCTCTGACATATTTGTTGGGTAATAGATTCTGAATTGGTTTGTCGGAAGAGTTTGTGGAGATTCCTAAAAGCTCACTTCGTATTTACCTATGCACTGAAGTTGTTTTCTATATGCTGGAAAATAAAAGCTTAGGGCAAAGTTCAACAATAGCGTCCCAGGAAATGTGAACGCACGAGTGACCTTCAGCTGACCAATCATAAAAATGAGGAGATGTTTGTTCAAAAAATGATGTGTATATTGACAAGAAAATGCTCGAAAACGAATAAAACAGGTTATCTTTCTCTAACATGGCTTAAAAAATCCGTCCTAGTTGTAACAATGAGTATCATTTCTCAAGTTAGACCAGGTTCCGTACATGGGTATTCACCGAGATGACTACAGATAAACTGTTTTTTTGAATAGTTCATCTCTCTCATCAATCCTGCTTGCAGTCTTCCAAAACAGCCTTCGGTTGTATTATTATGGTTTCCAGCAAGAGGATAGACGACTGCTTAGCAGGAAAACGTAGATAATAAAACAAATTAAAATAAATGACACATCAACTATATATTTATCCCTAATCGTAACCATAACCTTAATCCTAACCCTAATCACAACCCTTAATCGAACCGTAATTCTAACCCTAATGCTAATTATAACCCTAAGCGTAATCCTAACAAGCTATTAACACATTGTCCAAACAGTACTTAAAAAACGTGATCTGGGTAAAATTTGCTCCTGAGTTGGTGAATAGCGTTGATATTTCAGCTATGATAATGACAGATGCCGTTGGCCAACAACTAGCACGCGTCCAAGGTCATTGGAGCGTTCACACTCCTGGGACGGACGCTTTTGTTGAACTTCAGCAAGCTTAGCAACTAAATCAGCCAGGTCAGAAGAATACAAGTTCACTATAGTATCACCTACTACTCGAGTTACAAAATTTCTCCATCATAATATCTAAAATCAAATGTAAAAAGAAAAGAGCTATGTGGAAGAAACGTTTTGTTAACAAGCTTCTAAAGAATAAAATAATATTTAAGTGTTGGTTTGTAGGGATTTGGTTGGTTTCAGGATTTCATCATGAGCTGACATTAGTTAGAGAACCATTGAAAAACCAACTGGGAGTACTGGATAGCTGTTTCGTCCAACTAGTTTGGGACTCTTCAGCAGTACGAACCCATCAACGCGGTTCGAACCCAGGACCTTCCGATTACAAGGCGAGCTCGTATAGCATTAAGCCACTGGGACCCGATCCAATGGTCCTTGAATTCTAACTTCTGCCAATTCACGACATAGCGCGACCCCTAGCCAATGTCATCGGTGGCGAGTATTTGTCGTCACACCCGACCCGCTGCACCCTACTGGTCACGACTTCCCACTGGAACCCAGGTAACTACCTACCTGAATAGGGCCAGTCGCCAGTGAGCATCTCATTGGTATTTAAGTGTTGGTTTGTAATAAATAAATAAATAATATACTTACAAACAGGGAGCACCTTTGCATATACGACGCATCCATTTACGAGATTTTTTAAATTCTCTTAACGATGAATGCGATATATCCTTCTCAGTGGTAGATGAACTACTAGTTGTAGCCCGTTGAGATTTATAATTCCGTGTTGGTGATGTTTCCGTAGTAGCGGTGACTTCTGTCACAGGTCTGTGTAAATCTTCGGCGTAATGAAATTCAACTAGTGAATCATCTTGTTGCTGTTGCTGTAATTGTTGTTCAAAAAATTTTTCTTGATATAATGAAGAAGCTGTTGCATTGAAACTTGAACGACCGTGTGGTTTACTCTTCTCTGGTTGTATCATGTGGGCAGACAGAGCTGTAGGATTAACACAATAGATATTTTGTTGATTTGACGTGATATTATTGGACGATTGGATTGATGCATCAGTTGGATTATTCGCTACTACATGTATGTCAGATGACTGATGAAATGAAGATGGTGGTGGTTTTGCTGATACAAGAATTATCCGATCCAATTCATCAATCATTTCACAATCTCGTGCGACTGATAATGCTGTCAGCATATTATCACCTGTAAAAAACGAAAAAAACTTTTTTTTAATATAAGGAGAGAAACAACATTTTTCTCAAGTCTGTGTGAGGGTCACAAATCAGCACTCAGCATCAAAAATAACATCCGGATTTTCAACTCCAATGTGAACTCAGTCAGTGCTACTTACTACTATACGGATCACAGACTTGGCCAGCGCGTCATTAAGAGCATCTCGAACAAACTACAGACCTTCATCAACAGTTGTCTTCGCTCAATACTACTCATGATCAGATGGCCAGAAAGGAGCAGCAACAGGGATCTCTGGCAATGAGCGAACCAACCAACCAAGCAGGAACCGATTGCGCAACAAATAAGCAGGAAGAAATAGAGGTAGATTGACTATACTCCGATAAAACAAACTATCAAGTGATATCACTAGACAAGCCATCGCTCGAGTGGAACCCAACAGAATGGGAAGCAGCGAGTTGGTCGTCAGTGCGAGGGTGACTTGGAGGAGGTCATGAGAAGAGGAGATGAAAGCATGTGGGCAGACCTGGAGCCAGGTGAAAACTGTAGCAGAGAACCGAACACAATGAAGACGTTTGGCTGAAGCCCTATGTTCCTCTAGGAATTAAAGGAAATAATAATAATAAGAAGAAGAAGAAGAGAAACAACAGTTTCTTTAGTAAACTACGGAATGAAATTGTGTATTATCATCCCTAGGCATCATTGATATACTGAGATACGGCTCTTAGTAAACAGATCACTTGGATCAAGCCCTTTTTACGATACATGGCGGCTGGCAACTTGAACTGCTGCACTTCTGTGTTCAGAAGTTCTACGTTGAAACTCAGCCAATCAGTTAGAATACTACCAATACTTCCTGAATTCTACTCCATCATTAATGTATGGCTGTGAAAGGAGCACGGAATTAGTGTATATACACTGTTCAAAACATTCTACTCGAACTCATGCATGCAGCTGTGAAAAGCTCATGGAAGGTTATCATCTCGTGAAGTGACGACAACCAGTGTTGCTAAACATTTCATTGTAGATGTATCCTGATGACGAGAGAGTCATCCGTAGGTGACATGGAGGGAATGAGAGACTCTACGGGTGATCGTGGACCCAGCTGAAGAGGACAACAACAAATAGAACAAAGTGGAGATGTGTTGTTAAAGCCGTAAGTTATACTAAAAACCCAAGAGAATAATAATAATAATACTGGTGGAGGGGATGCGACTATGCCGATTTCGATGGCTCAGAAATTCACTCGATGTTCCGAGGAAGCGTATGCATGCTAGATGACATAGTCTGGTTAAGTGGAGATACTCTGATAAAACGCAGAATCTTCTAAACTCTTGAACAAAAATCTGCATGTTCCACTATAGTTGTCTAAAATAGATGGGTAATTATCTACACTAGAAAGGCATTTAGATTGAACAACTGAATGGGTTTGCTATCTAGGATACTATACTTGCCACATATTTAAATAACACACAAAGGTAGAGAGAGAAAAATAGTCCGAAGAAATATAAGAAACTATAATGGATCTCGGAGTCAATAAGGTGGGTGAATGCACCTGCACCACCATAGCCATGTCACGAACTGTTTCAAGTCGTTAGAGTATCACGGATCTCAGTCAGAAAGTCTACACCTTACTACGTAGCTGATTCAAATTAACAGTTAGAAACCACATAGGTTACTGCCAGATTTTCATTTGACCACGCCTAACTCTTTTTCAACCTAAACCTACGCCAATTTGGTGGATGGTGACTAGCAATACGATCCAGCTTATGTTGTTGTTTCACTCTATTTTGAAACTCGTCATCCGGATGTGTGTGCGTTCCCCAGTCAGTGATGTTCCCACTGAGACTCGAACCAAGTAACCAATATTTAGAACACCAGTGTTGTCCACTAGACCACTCGCGGGCCACAACAACCACCTCTTCGTGCAACAGGCATCAGTTATTTAATCAACTCAATTCGAAATTTCCCGCTAAGTGATTGGAACGAAGTGCTAATACATGCAGTTGACGAATCCTGAATTCTACTACTAATCACACACAATCCACCAAATCACCTTAGGTTAAATTCTCAGACACCGTCAATGTATCCACACAAGAAGCCGATATGTCAACACCTGAGGCCGAGCTCTTCGATCCAATCACTCAACGGGAAATTTCAAATTAAGTTACATATATATAATTCTTTGGTTACAAGATTTCATTATGAGCTGGCATTGGTCAGTGAACCATTGGAAAACCTCGAAGTACTGGACAGCTATTTTGTCCTAGTTTGGGACCCTTCATCAGTACGCTGAACCTAGGTTTGAACCCGGTGGGTGCGTACTGAAGAAGAGTCCCAAACTGGGACGAAACAGTTGTTCAGTACTCCCCGCTTCTGGTTTTCCAATGGTTCTCTAACCAATGTCAGTTCATGATGAAATCGTGTAACCAATCGACCAAATCCCTATAAACCAATACTTGAATATAATTCTTTCTCAGCTAGCATCGCTCAACGAGGAAGGCAGTGAGTGACTCGTCAAGCATATAACACGTGTCCCAGCCATCTCACAAGTGATATAGCTTGAAAAGCTCATCAGTTGACTAGTCTCCTTCCTTATAATCTGAATATTACTCAACATATAACATAGTATATATACCACTTAACACGATAGACAGGATGCAGACCACTGTGATCAAAGAGAGACAGCTGGCCATCTCAGGTCTTCCATTCTCAAAAAGAAAAACGATATCTTACGAGAATAAAGAAAGACAGAACAAATTATTTGCAACAGTATATACACACACACATCCTTTGATCGATAACCAGATATCACGTTCACATTAGAAGTTGAATAATAAACCCTATCACCTGGTGACATTTTCAAATGTGTATTTATAAAAGTGAAAATAAATTATTATTTTAAATAATTTCACAACATACCGGTGACCATAACCGGTCGAATATTAGCATATCTTAGTGTTTGAATCACTTGTGTAGTCTCCGGTTTCAGCCGATTCTCCATAATAAGTAAACCAAGAAATAATAAATCCTGTTCAACACGTTCTCTTGGAACTCGCAGTACTTTTGCATAATTTGCTTTCAATGGTTTCCAGGCTAGTGCTAACACTCGATAGCCTTCACGTGTATATTCCAATAGCGTTGAATGAAAATCACTTGGAACTTGAATTTTCAAAGAAAAGAAGATAAGAACGAAAAGCAAATCATATTGAAAAATAACTCACAAAAAAAAGAATTTCAGTAGTATACACCACCAAGCATTAAATGACATATTCATGAGCTGATTTGTGAAGCTTTCATCGCCCTACTAGGCGACATCTTCAGCGCATACTTCAATTCAATTTGAAGTGAGCTTTTAGATTTAGAAAGCACAAAGAAAATCGCCCTACGATATATAAGGGACATCTCAGAAATCACTGCAAGACTCTTCAAACCTTTAGGAATTGACGTCTCACACAAACCAACAAAATCAATTCACTCACCTGGTTCTGTGTCAACCAAAAGACTCAACAGAAAAAAAAGAGAAGGAAGAACCAACATCATCTACAAAATAAATTGTCACAACTGCGAAAAGCACTACATTGGTCAAAGTGGACAACCCCTTCGCCTTTGTATCCACGATCATAAACTAGCCGTCAAAAGACATGATATCCACTCCCTCATATCGCCTCTCACCGCATACAGACAACCACGGACATCAATTCGACTGGGACAAACAGTGTTCAAATATTAGACAGAGGAAACAACAAGAATGCTAGAGAATTTTTAAAAGCTCGGCATCCCAGTGAATCATCAATCCATAGACACATCGAAATAGATAAAATCTGCCAATCGATAAGGAGGAAATCTCACACACTAAGGGTCAAAGTTCGAGTTAAAGAGACAACCAGTTCCAACACAAGTAGTCTAGAGGCTGGAAAACACACAAAACAACCAATCACATCCAAGGAGGATTGACTAATGAACTCGTGAAGAAATCTAAAAGGTCACTTCACCGAATTGAAGTATGCGCTGAAGATGTCGCCTAGTAGGGCGATGACAGCTTCGCAAACCAACTATCCAGCCTAAAGAACACAACCGTATAAAAATCATCCATCTGAGCTACAAATCTAATATACATAAGCTGCAAACAAGAACTGCGACAATACTGACTTCATTACGAACTAACATGACTTAGGGAATCGTTGGGAACAGAAGAGCATCGTATAGCCATTTGATTCTGGTCTCGAACTCTACAGCAGTTCATACGAACCAACCCCAACGAGGAAGTGAACCTAGGACCTTCAGATTACGACCATTCATTCAGCCAGTAGGGTCAGAATTCAACTGCCTGTATATTCTAATTTTGTCAGTTCGTGGTATGGCACACTACCGTCAACCAATACTATCGATGAGCAAGCATCTACTTCACACCTTGACGTGATGGAACCGCGCATTGACTACGACTTCTCACTACAACTTCAGGCTATCCATCCAGGAGCCACCAATGAACTGAAGATTGGCACCTAATGAAAATGAATACTCTAAGGCATCAATCTACAGTTCACCAATGGCAGCTGGATAGATATCCTGATGTTGTAAGCGAGAAGTCGGTGTCAAGGAATGTTCCACCATGGTCAAGGTGAAGAAGAAGACGCTCGCCCATCGATAGTATTTGGTTGGAGGTAGCGTTACATCATGATTTGGACAGCAAAAGTGGCAAAATGGTCAACACGCTAACCCGGAAGTAACCTGGAAGGTACGGTTTTAATCCTCCTTGCACTGCAGAACAGTCCCCATGTTGGAATGGTTTTCGATTATTCACTAAATTGGTTCATGACTGTAATCTAGATTGTAATTAAACCGAATACCTAAAAAATCAATAGTCTGAACATATATAAGAAAGACTGTATCGGGACATAAATTTAGAAAAATGCTCTAAATATCTTACAAGCAGGTTATTTCTAAATACGTTTAGAAGGGGATAGGAAAGTTAGTCAAAAATGAAGGCTAAAACCAATTTTCCATTAGAGGTAAACACACGCTAAATTCACGATACATTTCAAAATATGTATATAAAAAAAGGAGAATAAAATAGCCCAATCAATAAACATCTCTTTTTTTACGGAAGAGTATAAACTGGTCAAACACTGTTAAAGACTTTGACATAGATACTGTGTACACACACAGAGATTTATCGAAAACTAAATTCTCCACGGTGAAACGAAAAGCTAATACAAACAATGTAATCATACATCACAATGGTCAGCTAGCCCTTGCTAGCCAGTCTGCTAGCCAGTTTCAAGTAAGAAGGCGAAGGAAGGAAGGAAAGAGGGAAGGATGAGTATGAGGCTAGCAAGCCCTAACACGCGAAAAATCGACCCAACCTCCCTTTTTACAGAAACTTCAACATACCGGAATCAAAGAGACGAAATGACACAGACTGGTGAAAGCCTTCGGAAAGTCAGTCCGCTGATGTACTTGGAATGGAATGATCCGCACAATGTTTAAGGCTAGAAATGCTGCTCGGATTATAAAACAACAATCTGTCTGTTTCTGTCTGTCTGTTTTCGACATAGAACTTTGCACAAATGTGAGGAAGTTCAAGTCGCCACATTCCGTGTAGCACGCGAAGCAAGAGAAGAAAGTACAAGAAAAGCATAATAGAAACAGTGAGCAGAGGTGTGAGACAAAGGAGTAATAAAGAAATACAAAACAGTTTCATTGGAGATCATAAGTTACAAGGAGTGGATGCATCTGCGCTAGCCACTGAGAACGGTTTTGAGCCATGTCACCAATTGTTTCCAACCATAGATTTTTACCGTCCCGAGGACCCCAGCCTGGAAGTCTACACCTTCCTACGTGGCTTAGACCAACTGTTGTGGATTTCATTGACTGATGAAGCCAAGTTTTTGTTTGACCACCGCTAGCTTTTTTCCAGCCTAACCCTATATCCGCTAACATAGCTCGTCGAGGGAGGCGATGGCTTGGCATACGTAACACATGTCCTAACCATCTCAGTCTTTGTAGCTTCACGACTTCGTCGATTGATTTCCCCTGTTTACCTAGAACTCTACGCCTAACCTCCATGTTGCTCACCTTATTATGCCACTTTACACGGGAAATAGGGCGCAGGCACCTATGATCAAAGACAACTAGTCTTTTCATGTCTTCCACTCTGAGTGGCCAGGTCTCACAACCATAAAGGAGGACGGAGCGGACTGATGAGCAGTACACCCGCCCTTTGGTCGATAGTCGAACATCTCGTCTACGCCAGAGTCGGCGTAAACTAACAAATGCGAAACGAGCCCCCTGTATCCGTGCTGAGATTTCGTCAGAGATCAACCCGTTGGTACTTGCTGATGGTACTTCCCAAATAAGTGAAGCGGTCAACGTGCTCTACCACTTCACTTCCTATTTTTAAACTAGGCGTCGATGTAGTCCAGTCCTGTAACATCATCTTGCATTTGGCGGGAGCGAATCGCATGCCAAACATTCGTAGATTGCTGTTCAAGGTGTTTAGAAGACTCTGCATTTCGTCAGCGTCTTCGCCTAGAAGGACTATATCGTCTGCATATTCCAAGTCAACGAGATTATTCCCCGGTAGCAAGAAGTATTGGTTTTTTGAAAGCGATTTAGTTTGATTGCTTGAAGGATTTCATCATGAGTTGACATCAGTTAGAAAACCATTTGAAAACCAGCCAGGGAGTAGTGGACAGTCGTTTCGTCCTAGTTTGGGACCCTTTTCAGTAGTACGCAATCATAACCATCATCGAGCTTATCTGATTGTCCAAAAACCTTCAGTTCGATCCGTATCATCAGCAAGGTCACGGATGCATACTACTGATGAAGAGTATCAAACCAAGACGAAAAAACTGCCCAATACTCCTCTAATGCTGGTTTTCCAATGGTTCTCTCTAACCGATGTCAGCTCATAATGAAATCCTGTAGATTAAAATTGTTAAAGAACAGTAGAGATAAGAGTGAGCATAAACATCGCGGCTTAGAAAGCTCAGGAAGTGAAGGGGAAGTGTGTGGGCGGTTGTTACTTCCCGGCTGCCCACACAATGGAGGTTGATTGATTCTTTGGGTACCTGAAACAGAAAGAGGGTTAGTGTTGCGTGACCGCAGAGCCAAGGAGACAGCTGCTTGAGGCCGGTCACACACGGACTCCATGAACTAGTTTCTAGATTTCTCCTCTCTCTGGAGTGGAGAGACAGCATAACTGGCTGGCTGGCTGGCTTGATGGTCATCTGAGGGAAAACCCTTACTGCTGTTACACCTCTGTTCCCCAGCATTACAACTTCGTCCTCAGACCCCCACAGCATAGTGTAAGAGAGATTCTTACACAATGCCGGCAACTGCTTTTAGTCTAATCGTTATCCTAACAACCTTCCTGACATGGTAGGACTTGCAGGAACATTGGTTTCAGCCAGTGTAGCTTGTTGGGTCATCGTGATGTGCAAGCCGCGGACCACCACGTCAAGGTAGCAGCTATCGGTCGGGTTTAGAAAGCTCAACTTTTTTGTAACAGTAAGTTTTAGTTAATGTTAACATTTTTTTCTGACAACCATACAACCATCATACTGATATTATGCAAACTTAATCACTCACAGATAACGACCGTGGATATTATAAAAGTAAACATAAGCATTCGATACATAGTAGTAATATTTTTAGGTATAAAAACAAATGGAAATAATAATAATCAAATGAAATAAAATAGTGCAGTGAAAACAATTCATGCTGTAAAATTTCTTCATCCTGTTAAGTAGTAGTCATGTTAGTAAACACACACATAAACTCACAAGTAGAGGGAATCAAATTCACATTTGAATCAGAAAATGAACAAGGAGAATTAGCTGTGATGTTAGACTGTAAGATAAAAAGAATAGAAGAAGGTAAACTACACACTAGTGTTTGTAGAAAACCAACGCATTCTGCTTATAGATATTCAGCCTTTAATTCCCCGACCGAAAGCTGCTACCTTGACGTGGTGGTCGGGCTTGAACACCGCAATGACCTAATCAAGCTATACTGGCTGAGACTTATGTCTCTTGAGGTTCTACCATGCCAGGCAGGTTGTTTGGATAGCGGTTAAACAAAAAGCAGCTACCTCATCCAATACCATGATCCAAACAAATTCACAAAATTTCATGCCGGATCGGCCGTGGCCCGGATTA